CAGAAACAGACTTAACCTAATACTGCGCTAAGTAGCCTGTAGCCCAAAAGTAGGATTTGGAAATTGATAGTAGGAATGTCTGCTATTGCCCAGAGATTTTGGCTTAGATAACTGGATAGATCAGGGTTTGTCGTGGTGCCAATACCACTGAGCAAAATGGAGAAAATTGAGAAGCTTATGTTATTAGTTTTAAGGGGAAGTCTTGGAGGGGAAGCATAAATAACTAGTTTTATTTTGGGGTGTAGGGGGGACACATTCATGGAGAAATGGCTAGTAGACAGTTGGAAATATGGATTGGTAAATAGAGAAATGAGATCATTGGCATATAGGTGGCACTTGACAGCGTGACTGTGAATGAGGTTACCCCATGAGAGTGCAGTGACAAGAAAAGAAAGCCTGTGGCTCTCTTGAGTGCTGGGAAGTGGATCGTGCAAAGAAAACTCAGATAAGGACTATACATAGAAGTAAAATAGTGTATTTATCATTTTGGAATGATTCACTGATATGTAAAATTAAGAATTAACTATATAACCTTGGAAGTTATATTTCAAATATGATTCACTTGAATATTAGTGAGTTTAAACACAAGCTAGAGGTTTACTTGTTTCCCCATAAGCGATTAAACTATTTTACTGTTTGAATCTATGGCAGAATACAAGCTCTCTGTAGCTTGAGAGTATTATAGGATATATCTACCTTACCTCTGATATCTTTCTTGTTTTCTTTCTTTACTGTCACGTGGTCAACTATTGCGATTGTTCGTTCCTATTGCTACAGTCTTGAAGTATTAGTTTGCTGTGGCATCCACTCTGCCTGCCTTACCAGTCACCAGAACCCTTTAAATTAAAGCCTTGCAGGACTGTTCCAAGTGAAACAGACTTCCAGGCAACATAATGGAGGGAAGGAATATAGCACTACTATCCCGCTTGGGTGTAGCAGTCCATAGTCTTAGTCCTATACATCACTATTAGCTTAAAAGCCATGTTAAACTTTCTTATTGTTTAAAATTCTCATCAGTCTGATTTTTCACATACAAACATCAAATATGAAGCAATAGCAAAGAATTGATTCTTTTATAATACATTAACACTTTGAAGATTTCAGGAATGAGTGGTTTTTATCTGTATTTAAAAAGGGTTTCTTCCTTGGAGTATATAGGCATTTCACTCTTAAGTAAAAGCACATTTTAAGATATGTTTGAATTGCTTGTGGTAAAAAATTACGTTAAATAATTTTTCTTCAGAAATAAAAATCTCTATATTTCCTTTTTATGCTTTATTTAAAGCACTGTTAAAGAATGCCACTATTTAACTAATTTCCATGAGAAGAGTCCCCCTCCAGACACACACATGCAGCATACTTTTAAGTTTATTCTGTTTCTCCTAGAATTTTTTTGCTCTTAATGAGTGAAAGTTGAAACAATTATTTATTGATTCAACAATGATTTATAGCAAATAAGCAAGAAAGAGGTAATAAGTTTAACAGTAAAGTATGGTTTTAAAAAAATACTGACTGAAAAGAGCAAATTGCAAAAAAAGATACATATAAATATGATGCCATTTTAATAAAATTTTAATCATAGGAGTTGAGTCTGTAATGTTTCATTTCTTTAAATAAAAAGCTGAAGCAACTGTGACAAAATGTTAACATCTGTTAAATCTGGGTAATACGTATTTGGGTGACTGTTATACTTTTTTCTATGCTTCATACATTTGAAATATTTCATAATAAGGCATTTTTAATTTTTAAATTAATAAAACAGGCATTATCATAGGGAGTGATGGGTACTTTCGGTTGATTAATCAGGAAGGGTCTCTCTGGGAAGTAACATACTGAGACCTGAATAACAGAAAGGAGTGACTCACGCCAAAAAAAAAAAAAAAAAGAGAAAGTATTCGAGGCAGAGAAACAGCTGTTGCTATAGTTCTGAGGCACAAGCAAGCATGACATGTTCAAGGAAAGAAGGCCTTTTTAGTCTGTCTGATTGGAAAACCAATAGTTGTGCCTCAGAGTTAACCACCACAGCATAAGTGATAAAAGGCCATTTAGTCTCTGAAGACTTACATTGAAGGAAGCTCACCATTTTCAGACTTATCTTAGTCTTATAGTTTTTCCATGTAGGGCTTACAGATTAATGGGATCATAGCAAAAGGACAGAAAAGCTGGCTTGAAGGGTTTCTCAGTGGCCAAGTCAGGGACAGTTTGAGCACCAACAGGAACTGCAATGTAATGGATTATAACACACAATTTTTAAAAGTCATAATTTCTTAGTGATATTCAAAGATAAAAAGGAAAACATTCTTTATAGAAGAATGCCAGATAAGGTAGAAAGAATGGTAGCATTAGAAATGACTATTTTGCACATCCCCAAATCATTAATTCAGGCAAGGATAATTCACGGATGCTAAAATCTTTGGATGAAAGGTTGTTGGAGGATAGGTTATTCATATAGTCTCAATATATGACTCCATGACTACTTACCAACTACAAAGGAAGGAATATACATTTAAAATGGAGAGATCTGGTAGCCTTAAGCAAGGGATCAAACCTGGTATCATGTGCCTCCTTGATGTGATGCAGTAAGAAACACTCAGCCTCACCTAAATAGTATCCTTCCCCAAAATGTTAAATTCGAATCTAATCATGAGGAAGCAATTAGAAAAATCCAGAACATGGGGCATTTTATGAGACAACTGGCTTGGACTTTTCAAAAAACTCGGTCATAAAAACAAAAGATTGGGGAGGTGCCCTGTGCTAGAGCATTTAGGAATGAAGCGATATTTTGTCTTCAATTAACTTTCAAATAGTTCATCAAAATAAAGTGTGTAAGTTTTTAAATACTCAGAGTAAAAGTTGGAGAGGATGCTTATTTCTGTTTTGAATTCAAATCCAACTTTTGAATACTTTTTGCCTTTTGGTTTAATTGTGCTGTTTGGAGCCACTCTGATAGCTATAAATCCTCCCCCATATGGTGTGAGTGCTGTTGGTCATGGTAATACTAGTAATTTTTATATAACATCTGTTGAATATGTATTATGATATACCAGACATTGTACTGAACACATTATTTCAGTTAATCCTTTAAACAATTCTTGAGTTTGCACTCATTTCTCCTTTTAAAGTTGAAAAGACATACACTTAAAAATCTTACCACTATAGCAACAGAAAAAAAAGCACTTCATGTTAACCATGAAAATGTGAATTTGTGAGGTAGGCTAGAATATTCAGGGGTGAAAGCAAGATAGGAAAATCTGTGGTCAAGTCACTAGGCATGCATATTTTTCTGGCCTGGAACTTATTATACATACAACCTACCATTGAGAGGTGATCTAGTGTGGTGGTTAAGAGCACAATCCCTAAACCAGAGGCCTAGGTTTGTTCCAGCTCCACCATTCACCAGCCAGCCTGAGAAGCACTTCTCCAGAATTCCATACTGGGAACCTCTGTTGTAGTAGTTTCCTATTGCTGCTGTACAAAGTACTACAAACTTGGTGCCTAGAAACAGCACATTTATTTATTTTTTTTTCTTGTTTTTTTTTTTTTTTTTTTTTCATTGTTGATATTGCATGGAAGTGAACAATGGTTGTGAATAGTGGTAAGATAAACAGACTACCTGATGGCAGCTCAGCGGCTGCTCAGCTCGGGCTGGACTTGAACCGCTGTTGCTCAGAGCTCAAACTCTTGAGCGAGCTCTTAGCCAACTGAGCCACTCGGCCGGCCCACAGCACATTTATTTATTATCTTACAGTTCTGGAGGTCAGAAGTATAAAACATGCTTGAGTGATACCATCACTGTGTCTCTTGAGTTTGCACCAAGTGGGTCTTTAGCAGTACACAAATCCTGAGGGCTGCATTTCCACCTGGAAGCACTAAAGGAAGATGTTTCCTTGCTTTTCCAGTTTCTAGTGGCCACCTACTTACTGACCCCCTTTGCCTAAACCAGCAATGTATCTCTCTGTGCCTTACTTCCATAGTAACATCTCCCTCTGACTCTTATCTTCTAGTTTTAAAGACACTCGTGATTATATTGGACCCACCAAGATACTCCAGAATAATCTCCCTTTTTTTAAGGTCAGCTGGTTAGCAACCTTAATTCCAACTGCAACCTCAATTTCACTTTGCCATGTAACCAAACATATTCACAGGTTCCAGGGATTAAAACATGCACATTTTTGCGGAAACCACTTTTCTGCCTGCACATCTATGTTTATATTCTAAAGTTGTATAAGGCAGCTGGGACCAGGAGAAGGTGACTCCAAAGTGGAGATCCTGACCAATGCTGTGGACTGTAAGGACCAATCGGGTTTGAGCTAAAAACAGTTACTCAGCAGTGTGTATACATGTTTTTAAATTTCTTACTGGCATAAAGTGTATATGGTAAATTTGGTATTCAAGAGCGAATTAGAGGGCCGGCCAAGTGGCGCGATGGTTAAGAACTGGCTTGGGATGCCAGAGGGCCCCGGTTCGGATCCCACATATGAGGGACACTGCCTTCTACAGCTAAGATGCTAAACAACAGCTCAACCTGGAGTTGGACTGCCTTGAGTCACCGGCGACAGCGTAGGCTGCAGCCCCTGCTGCAGTGGGCTGCCATGGGCTACTGTGTGTGGCCGGCAGCCAGCGTGAGCGGCCAGCAGCGTGAGCGGCCAGCAGCCGCTGTGAGCGGCCATCCAGAAGCCGGCGACTGATTTGCCTCGCCTGGGAAGAGTGCAATGATGGTGCCAACTTGGGCCAGTGAAGCAACGTCCTTCACAACTAGACTGAAGAACAAAAGGACAGCAACTTGTCTGTTCCCCATTCCCCAATTCCCCAATAAAAATCTTAAAAAAAAAAAAGTGAATTAGAAGGAGGCAACTGAGTTTTAGTTACATCATGGTAGGGAGATGATTAAAATATTAGAATAGATTTTATTTCTGTTTTTATGCCAGCCCTCAGAAGGAACTGTTCTTAATTATAATTTTAGAGAAATTTTGGATTTAATTTTTGTGTTTTTATTACAGATTTTTACTATCCTTGGATGCCACTCCTGATATGGAGAAGATTGAGGAACAATTTGCTAATCTGAACATTGTTAAACGTTCCTCAGGAACTCAGGAGCCTACTTATCTGCTTGGCATAGACACATCAAAGACTGTACAAGCAGAGAAAGAAAGTTTGGTTGCTGCTTTATGTTCTAATGAATCCATCAGAATATATGATAAAGAAAGGTTAAATGTACTACGAGAATTTAGTGGATATCCTGGACTTCTCCATGGAGTCAAATTTGCACATTCTCGTGACTGTGTATATTCATCATGTACGGATGGCACTGTAAAATGTTGGGATGCTCGATTAGCCAGTGACAAGCCGGTCCAGCTGTTCAAGGGTTACCCTTCCAATATTTTTATCAGTTTTGATGTAAGCTGTAATGATCACGTCATTTGTGCTGGTACAGAAAAAGTTGAAGATGATGCATTGTTGGTATTTTGGGATGCAAGAATTAATTCTCAGGATTTGTCTACTACTAAAGATCCACTTGGTACCTATTCAGAGACACATAGTGATGACGTCACTCAAGTATGTTTCCATCCCAGCAATCCCAACATGGTAGTCTCGGGTTCAACTGATGGCCTGGTAAATGTATTTGATATTAGTGCTGATAATGAAGAGGATGCGCTGGTTACAACTTGCAACTCAGTTTCATCAGTAAGCTGTATCGGGTGGTCTGGGAAAGATTATAAACAGATATACTGCATGACACATGATGAAGGATTTTGTTGGTGGGATCTTAATCATCTGGATACTGATGAACCAATTACACGTTTGAACATCCAGGATGTCAGAGAAGTAGTTAATGTGAAAGGAGGTATTTTGGACTATCTGATTGGTGGCCTATATCATGAAAAAATGGACAAATTGTTTGTTGTTGGAGGAGCAAACACAGGAATGATTCACTTAATGAGCTGTACTACATCAGGATTGATCCATGTGACCAGCCTTCAGGGAGGGCATGCTGCTACTGTCCGTTCTTTCTGTTGGAATATGCAGGATAATTCTTTGCTAACTGGAGGAGAAGATGCACAGTTGTTATTTTGGAAACCTGGAGCGATAGAGAAGACATTTACAAAGAAAGACAGCATGAAAATAGCATCCTCTGTGTATCAGCGAGTTCGAGTTCACAGTAGTGATTCTTACAAGAGAAGGAAAAAGCAGTGATGTTACATTGGGGGTGTACTTGATAGGTTTTATAGCTGTAAATCATTATTTTTGTGTACTATCTGTGAAAGATATGTGTAAAGCTCATATGTAAAAACAAGCCAGTTAGCAAACAGCCCTGGAAAAATGTTGAGAATGGTTTATTTCAGGTCTTCACGTATTCTAAAAAAAATTTTTTTAAAGCTACCAGTTGAGTATATAATCAGTGAGTTGAAAACAAAATTACATTACTCATTTTAAAAACCCATCTGTTGAGTTAGTAAATGATGAGTTTGAAGAAATAGCTTTGATAAAGACTTTTTAGAAGTAGATGTGTGACTTAAAAAGAAAAACAGGTGTTTTGGACTGTTTTTTTAGCTCAATTTTTTTACATTTTAAATAATCTTTATTACTTATAAAACCAAAGGAGACTGTTTTGTTCATTTAAGGAGCTCCTACTTACTTAATACACATAGATTACATTGGATATTTAAATATAAATATTATGAGTTTAAATAGAGTTAAGCTTTTTTGAAATAAAATTATTTGAATCTAATAAAAGTATGTTTAGTATATATTTGTATCTAATACTGTTGGTTAAACTGTAAACAGATGTTTCACCGATGAAAAGGAAATTTATCTTGCAAAATTCATTTTGAGTATTGTGTCAGATGGATACTAGACTTACCAGGGTGATCACTTCATAAGGTATATAAATGTCTAATCACTGTGTTGTACACCTGAAACTAGTATTATATGTAAACATAATTGGAAAATAATTTAAAAAAATAAATCATTTTGAGACTCAAAGTGAATATACAAAAATGAAAGTATTTATGATAGCAGAATGACTGTTTTTATTTCAAAATACCCTAATATTTTTGATAAAATTTTCTTCCATAGTATTTTCATCCATAATCTTAAACTTGAATTTTTATTTACTGTTATTTTTTATTCCTTTTAAACATTTCTCCAAAGAATGTTAATTAAAAAGTTAATTTCTCTAAAGGTTTGTTTTCTTATGCTTAATTAAAAATAAAAATTATTTTTATAGTAAAGATTTATAAAATATATTTATAAAATATTTTTATCTTCTCTATTAGAAATATTGCCATGAAAAACACAGATGTTATTTTAGAAGCCCTTACATTTCTCCTTAAATGTTAATGACTTAGCTGTGAGACTGTAATACTGGGGGAAATTTTTAATTTTCAATAGAGCAATGCAGCTTACATTTAGGCTACGATCTAGCTTAACTCACTTGAGACTAAACAATAGGTAAGTCACTGTTAAACATATTCAAAACTTATAACTCTTGTTTTGAGAAATTCAACTATCCTTGCTGTTGCCCACACCATAAACCTGAAGGTAATTCTGGAGTTTTCCCTTTTCTCCTCACTAGTCAATCACCAAGTCTTATGCCGTTCCACCTCCTAAAATCTGTCAGCTGCCCTTTCACCTTCACTACTACTGCCTTAGATAAGACTTTCATCATTTCTCACCTAGATTACAGACCCTGTCTCTAATCTCCAAATTCATTATTCACATCACTTCTAGGCTTCACATCGAAAACAGATTTGATAATGTCTCATGCTGCTTAAAATCTTTTGTACATTTAGACTTTTTCACAGAGCACTATGTAAAAATGAGAAATCATGTTTTCAAGATATTTAGGGGGCCTGCCTAAGGCCACGTTGGTTAAGAGTTGGCTTGGGATGCCATCTTTGAGCACCAGGGCCCTGGTTCGGATCCCACATGAGGGCCAGTGACGCTGTGCCCTCTACAGCTAGGATGGTAAACAACAGCTCAACCTGGAGCTGGGCTGCCATGAGTCGTAGGCTGCAGTGGGACTGGCTGGCAGCTGAGTGTGCTTTCAAGAGCTGCCATGAGCCGTGGTGAGCGGTCGTCCAATGGCCAGCGAGTGACTGCCTCACCTGGGAAGAGCACAATGATAATACCAATATGGGTCAGTGAAGCGATGTCCTCCACAATTAGACTGAAGAACAAAAGGACAGCAACTTGTCTGTTCCCCTTCCCCGATTCCCCAACGCTGTTCCCCTCCCTCAATTCCCCAATAAAATCTTAAAAAAAAAAAAGATATTTAGGACTTGAGACATTGCTGACTATGTTATAAGTGGGAAAAGCTGGTTAAACAGACTTGGAGGGCCAGCCGAGTGGTGTGAGGTTAAGAACTGGCTTGGGACGCCAGAGGGCCCCAGTTCAAATCCCACATATGAGGGCCAGTGACACTGCCCTCTACAGCTAAGATGCTGAACAACAGCTCAGCCTGGAGCTGGACTGCCGTGAGTTGCCGGCGACAGCATAGGCTGCAGCCCCTGTGGCAGTGGGTTGCCATGGGTTACCGTGTGTAGCCAGCAGCCAGCGTGAGCAGCCGTCCAGAAGCCGGCAACTGATCTGCCTCGCCCGGGAAGAGCGCAATGATGGTACCAACTTGGGCCGGTGAAGCAACGTCCTCCACAACTAGACTGAAGAACAAAACGACAGCAACTTTTCTGTTCCCCTTCCCCAATTCCCCAGCACTGTTCCCATCCCCCCAACTCCCCAATAAAAATCTTTAAAAAAAAACAGACTTGGAGAAATTGCACTTACAAAACAACAGGAAATGGGAATATCAGAATGACAGCTTTTAAAAATACTTAAAATTCATAAGTAATTTATAGAGTTGGAAAATGCAAATGAAGAAATATCTCTGAAAGTAGACCTCAGAGACAGAAAGTAAGAGAAAAGATAAAACCACAGAAGATAAATATAGGGGTCTAATACTAGACCAACAGTTTTACAAAGTGAAAAAAATTTTAAAGGGGGTGCAGAGGGATTATTAAAATGAAATAATGTGGGCCGGCCGAGTGGTGCATTGGTTAAGAACTGACTTGGGACTCCAGAGGGCCCCGGTTCGGATCCCACATATGAGGGCCAGTGACACTGCCCTCTACAGCTAAGATGCTGAACAACAGCTCGACCTGGAGCTGGGCTGCTGTGAGTTACTGGCGACGGCGTAGGCTGCAGCCCCTGTGGCAGTGGGTTGCCATGGGCTACCGTATGTAGCCAGCAGCCAGCGTGAGCGGCCAGCAGCCACAGTGAGCGGCCGTCCAGAAAGCTGGCGACTGATCTGCCTCGCCCAGGAAGAGCGTCATGATGGTGCCAACTTGGGCCAGTGAAGCAACGTCCTCCACAACTAGATTGAAAAACAAAAGGACAGCAACTTGTCTGTTCCCCTTCCCCCAATTCCCCAGCGCTGTTCCCATCCCCCCAGTTCCCCAATAAAAAAATCTAAAAAAAAAAAAATTAAATAATGTAAGAAGCTATTCCAGAACTTCAGCTTTTTTTTTTTTTTAGCTGAGTCATCCTGCCACCTGTTGGCAGCTCAACGGCTGCTCAGCTCGGGCCAGGACTCAAACCGCTGTTGCTCAGAGCTCAAACTCTTGAGCGAGCTCTTAACCAACTGAGCCACTCAGCCAACCCCAGAACTTCAGCTTTTAAATAGAAAGGTTTAACACAGTTTTAAGATTAATGAATGAAAAAAACACGTGAAGATATAGTACTGAAGTTTCAGAACAAAAAATAGGAAAAAATCTTAAAAGTTTCCAAAGAGATGAGGAAAAACAGCCACTTAGGAATAAGAATAACACCTGTATTAGACTCCTCATTAGCAAATCTGGATGACATAATGGTGATCAATGCCTTCAAAGTTCTGAGGAGAAATTCCTGCTATCTGAACTTATGCTCTCCAAAACTCATGACGCCAATAGATTATAATAAATTTTTGTGAAACTTTCCTTCCTACTTGTTCTCTGAAACTCAAGAAATCAAATTTATTTGAACTGACCAAATCTATCACAGAGTATTCATTGCTAACCAAATTCATTGGCTGAACCAAAAATAAAAGATTTGGATTTCAGGTACTTGCTTTTCCAATCTACACGTATAATGTCAAACTGCCCTCAAGTGTGAAGTTAAAAACATTTTCATACATGCAAGATTTCAAGCTTTACTTTTTTTTAAAGATTTTTATTGTGGAATTGGGGGAAGGGGAACAGAAAAGTTGCTGTCGTTTTGTTCTTCAGTCTAGTTGTGGAGGACGTTGCTTCACTGGTCCAAGTTGGCACCATCATTACGCTCTTCCCAGGCGAGGCAGATCATTTGCCGGCTTCTGGATGGCCGCTCACTGCGGCTGCTGGCCGCTCACGCTGGCTGCTGGCTACACACGGTAGCCCATGGCAACCCACTGCCACAGGGGCTGCAGCCTATGCCATTGCTGGCGACTCACGGCAGCCCAGCTCCAGGTTGAGCTGTTGTTCAGCATCTTAGCTGTAGAGGGCAGTGTCACTGGCCCTCATATGTGGGATCCGAACCGGGGCCCTCTGGCATCCCAAGCCAGTTCTTAACCATCATGCCACTCGGCTGGCCCTCAAGCTTTACTTTTTATGCAGCTTTTTAAAAGGTACTAGAGGATGTATCTCACAAAAAATAAGGGACTGAATCAAGGAAGACGAGATAACCAGAAATCAGCACCAGCCTAGCATAGTGGCAGGATAACAGCTTTGCAGCAGGATTACAGTATTCAGTCCACATTGGAACAAGAGAACAAAAGATATCAACAGGGAGATGTCCATGGAGAAAAATGTACTGATCGGTTACCCAGTGTGCTCAATCATGTGGAAAATGGTATAAATGGATTAAACTAACCAATTAAAAGAAACCCTCATTGAAAATAATTTTTAAAGGTTTTAAAAGTTTGAGATGTTAAAAAAAATTTACTTAAAGACATAGGTTAAATAAAAGGATGAAAAAAGGTATACTAACCCACAGAATGGGAGAAAAGATTTGCAAATAATATGTCAGATAAGAACTTGTATCCAGGAGAGACACACACACACACACACCAGGTCTGACAAGTTGGCAATGATGTTGCTAACCTTTTTTTGATATCAGGGATTATTCATTATGAATTTGTACCAACTGGACAAGTAGTTAACCAAGTTTACTATTTGGAAGTGCTGAAAAGGCTGCGTGAAAAAGTTAGATAACCTGAACTTTTTGCCAACAATTCATGGCTCTTGTATCACGACAATGCACCAGCTCACGTGGCACTGTCTGTCAGGGAGTTTTTAGCCAGTAAACCAATAACTATTGGAGCACCCTCCCTACCCACCTGATCTGGCCCCCAATGACTTCTTTTTTTTCTCGAAGATCAAGGAAATATTGAAAGGAAGACATTTTGATGACATTCAGGACATCAAGGGGAATATGATAGCTTGGATGGGCATTCCAGAACAAGAGTTCCAACATTGTTTTGAAGGGTGGACTGGGCGCTGGCATTGGTGCATAGCTTCCCAAGGGG